AATCCTCGAGTTTGTCCAGAAATTTTCTTCTTCATGTGTTCCGCCATGCCGGGCAGGCGTGAAAAGTAGTTACGAGCCAGTACGTGCTTGTGTAGAATCTTCCCGATAAACATCCGCCCGTATGCCTGATGGAAAGAAATACAAAGTTAGAGTGAGGATACTCGAAGGAAGTGAAGGGAATCACCTCCAACTTGGGGGATGGGGGTGGGGTTGGAAATGGAGGGCGATTTCTTTATCCCAACCCCAAAAGAGCTTACTCAGCAGGGGTAAAACCATTGCGTGCAATATTTTTCTCGTATTTCACGACTTGGTGAATTAAGGGAGTAGTTATCTCATCATGCATGGACTAAATATTAATTGTGCCATCAATCTCGTACCGGAAGAAGCACCAAACGAAAAAGCAGACATTGCTTAATAATCCTCATTAACAAGGATCGATCAAGCATACACGGACGGTCATACACCTACTTTTGAAGTACAGTAACAACCAGCGACTTAAAGAGCTTGTTTTTTAAAAACCTGCTTGGCTAACATTTGCCAGATAGGCCCCCTCTAAACAGAACCTGTGGAGCCCAAAATTTAAAACAAGTTCTTATTTTCTATTAAAATTCTACATAAAAAAATCCGGACACTTGGGCAACTAAGATAAGTCAACATTTAGGATCCTCTTTGTAGACAAAGGTGCCTTGTTACTCCAACTACAACTGCAATACAGGTTTTACCTAAGGAATGAACTAAATACCACTAACTACTCTTAGCTATAATGTATTTTTCCTTCAGACTGAATGAGAACCTATCAAGAACCTAAATAGCTTAAATTTATGCTAATCAACATATTATATGCAAGAAACTCTTTAGACTAACGTGGGGAAATGCAGGTTCTTAGTCGCGGTTTTTACTGTATGATCAGATTCCCCCTTCCACATCCGACTAAAAGACACTCTTTACGGCTTCCTCAGTTTACTCAGGCATCTTACCCACACCCATCTATTGACGAGGGGTTTAAAACGACAAAGACAAACAAAGAAAAGGAGCCGTACCTCAGTAACGTTTTCCAGTTTGGCGTGAGCAGATGCCTCTTCCTTTGTGAGCAAAATACAGTTCCACGGAGACCACTCTTCGTACTTATTCCACCGTACAAGAATCAAGTCAAACAGGTCTTCGTGAGCGCTGAGCACGCTCTGGCTATTCCAAATGTTTTCCACAAGATAGCGTAAATCAGGTTCCTGAAAAAGAGGAACAGATTTAGTCAAAGATCTTTCAGTTTGCACATGACAATTGATGCTTGTTCCCTCATGATAAGAATTCTCTGGATTAAGTTAATATGAGGCAAATGTCTGCGAAAAAAAAGAGAAAGTTTAAAGCAGATACGTACAAAGTTAGAGAAAAAGCTAGGGCCATCCAGATGTGTAAGTTATGAAACACAGTTATGAAAAACAGGGCAAAAATTCTATTAGAGCCTGATTACATAATCCGGAATGGCCCCGTCTACCAGGTTGGACTATTTTATCAAGTGGCCACTTTGGCTCGGTTGTCATGTAATTACAAAGTTGATTTTTGTTGCGTTTGACCAAGGTGCCGAGATCTCGGTCTCAAAGCGGCAAACCGAACCAGCCCGTGTAAAATTCAGCCCCTGAGTGTCTTAAAAACTGCAGCTATCGTTTACAAAGGGAAACTGTTTGCTCTTTTGATCGTTACTGGTAACTGGCCGCCTGGCAACATGCTCTTACTGAAAGGAAATTATTCAAATGGCCCCAAACCGACTACCGATGTCTTAATTTCAATTTCGGCATTTACAGTGTAGAATGTTGTAGTTCACGTACGGGTCAATTTAGGGAATTTTGGAGGGAGAGAAGTACTTGTTTTTATATCACGAAATTTGGAAATGCAGATTTATTCAGTTGCGAGGTCCCATGACAGCGACTCTCTCGTACCGAAACATCTTATAGATTACCGAATCTGCATGTACCTGGAGTAAGTATGCTATTTTAGAACCATCTTCAAAGCTTTCTTCTGAACGCCTCAGCTCTTTCAACATTGCTCTGTACTGCGAGAAGTCATGCCGTAATCTGGCATCGTTGTCGAGTTTCATACACTTTCTACATCTTCCAACAACCCTGTGTGGCCAAAGAAGAAACAAAGGTCACATCATGTAAATTCTCTTGAACTCATCAACTCAAACATGAACGAAACGTGTTTAATTAAGAAAGATCTAAAACTACGATAAGATGAAGGACACGTCAAAAAATGGTGCTCCGCCAGGTACGCAGGCTAAGGCTGGCGTCACAAGAAAGGTTAGAAATAGCACGTCACGAAGCTGAATGAGCCCGTTTTCTGACCGGAGTTTAGCCAGTTTTTAAAAAAAATTGGCCAGCTAAGTTTATATATATTTAACAATTATTCCACAAGTGCGCGTTGGATATGGGACGCTAGATACCCAGCTGGTTGGCTATAATCATCTCATATCCAACAAGCGCAAGTGGGATACTAGGAGCAAAGCACGCGCAGGGTTGCACCATGGGTAAGAAAATGTGGCAATCTATCTTGGTAATCACGTGACCGTACGCCCGCCCGACCGTTTGTCCGCACCACAGTCATGCCAAAGTAAAAAAAAACTCAATCAACAGGTATGGCAACCCAAATGCAACCCAATGTTATTTTGGCGGGAAATCGCATAGCCACCCGCGTTTGTAAAGCAGAGACAACTAAAAGTCAATAAATCAATAAAGACGAAACCGGAAAGCGGAAATTGTTTGTGTATCCGTGTTGTCTAAAGTATTAAGCTTAGAGTAATTGTCGTGTCCACAAATTTGGAATATGGAGCAAGAGAAAGACAGAGAAAAAGAGAAAGTTGGCGGCAGGCCAGCGAAGCACATTTTTGTTGGAAGAACAACATGAAAATTTTGTAGCGGCGGTGACAAAATGAGAAATGCTAACGGCCACTAATGCAAGGTGAAAGTGAGCGGCAGTGAAAAAAAATAAAAAGTGTAACTAAGAAGTTTCTGGAAGTTTCACGTTGCAGTCGTGCAAAATAACGGCAAAGAAATGTACATGTACATACTCCGGCGTTGTCTTCGCCGCTTAGCACTACACGATTTTATAGTTGGTTTGAACAACCTATAAGCTAGATAAATAATCAGATTTGAAGACATTTAGTTAAAACTTTCCGAACGATAACTCTTTATTATCGCTAACTTCTAATGGCCGAAACTAAACATTAAAAGAATTAATCTAAGCTTGACTCACCGAGAATTGGATGAAAGTTGGAATTCTGTTGATGGCAAGTATGAGTTGCAACTTGGACAGAAGTAAATATTTTTTCGTAATACTGACGGATCTTGTGGAACCTAAATAAGAGAGAAAGATAAAAGGTTTTGCTACCATACATTGCAAAAAAGCAGATGGGGATCAAATTAGGAATTTAATTGACGGCACGACTATTATTTAAGCGTGGTTGAGGTGAAGAAAATCATAACAGTTTCACTAAAGACAAAAGGCATGTCTTGGCCTGCTCTGCCCAGCAAAAGTAAATCAAGAGGAAATAACCTTGTTCGGTATACTGGCATATATGACAAACGAGCTTATTACTTTACTGAATTCTTAGGAACCTTTTTCACCGGGTGTATGAGCAACTTATTTTTCGAGTCAAGCGTTGTAATTTTCTGCAGCATACTGGTTCATGAATTCGCACTTCTTTTCTACCCTCCAGAAACTAAACTGCCATCATAGAAAGGAAAATAGCCTGTATAACAGTCAATTTCGAATGATTCCCAAATTTCGCTAGTAAACAACACTCTCGTTCGAGACTCCCTTAAAATTTCCATCACGAGAGCAAAATGAACTGAAACGGAGGTGTCATGTGAAGTTTTGGGGCGGCAATAAAACGTTAACGAGTAATATTACTGCACCTTGATGATCCGAGCTGCCTCGGGGTTGAAAAGAGGTGTTTTGCAATACTGAAGAAACAAAGTTAAAATTCTCTTGCGTAACCCTGAAAAATAAAATAAGCCCGTAAGGTAGCTTTATGAATAGCCTGCGAGCAAGCTCTTCATTTGGGGGGTCTCGCTTCACTCGCCATAAATGGAGAGCTTGCTAGCAGGTTCCTCTTGTTAGCCTCGTCTCCAGTCGCTGACGATCACCTTTCTGGGGGTCATTCGAGTTAATTCACTTCCATCGTAACCCTGACTCGCTTCTCGCTTGTCTCCAGCTCTCGCCCTTCTCGCTTGTCCCGTGCTCCCCACTGAGCCTTGGAAAACTTGTAGAGGAGGCAGACGCAACGCGCATCACCACGCGTGCATCACTGCACTGTCACGCTCCTCTTGTGTCTGGAGTCCTTAACTTTCACAACGGTGTCAAACTGTGAGGGACGCGCGCAAATAGAATGAAAGACGAGAGAACGTCCCCAAACTACGGAACAGCACCAGGGTCATTCTACAGTGTAGTGCTACTTGCTGTGGAAGTGGCGATTTGAAGGTCTCCTTTGGAAAGTACAGTGTACTTCGGAGTTGGTTTTCTTTAAATGACAGGAAACTAAGACTAAATTAAACAGTCGCTAATTTTCCACCAGAAAAAACGATAAATGATATAGTGCAGTAGGGGTTAAAGTATACAGGGTAAAAAAAATTAATTAATTAAATAAAATGTTTTAGATGCGTCATCATTTGAAAATGCTGCAGGAATTACATTGTTCTTTAAACAGCATGCTTGTGAGTAATCCAGAACTGCTTATAAATGTACCTTCTAGATTTGATTCTTTGACTCCTCTCATCAATAAATCAGCTTCCCTGTCAATCAATTCAATAATCTCTTGCGTCAGTTTACAGTCGTGTTCTTTTACAGTATGTTTTAGGGTCAGCAGTACATCCAATCTTTCATCCTGCGTTAGGTACTTCATGCTAAGCGTACTGTAAATGTCCCGTAATTCTTGGGCGCGGATGGTGTAGGGCGTGTCCATCTCCGTTATCTTTCCGTCAAAAGCTTTCCATTGCTTTGGGGCCGCAGCCTGTGGAGAGAACAAAGCAGTGTAAATGTACAGCATGTTTAGAAAGGAAAGCGGGGAGAACAAAGACACCTAAAGAAACTGTAAATTAAGAATCATTAATTTTGACAAATCGAGATTAAACAATGTACGACCTTACTTCCATTGAAGGTGCTTAGAAACACATAAGAATAAACAACTTTTATCCATGCATGATAACTTGTAAAATTTCTATTGTTTACTATGGTTCCACTCTGATCAACCTTGTTACTCACTAATTTTTCTGTGAGAAAGATTTCATTCTGTCACACAAATATCAATATCTTTAGACTTGCCCAAAAGTCGAGCTCATAACTTTTCTCGAGTGCAAAGCACGAGCTAGGAATTTATATTTTCGGCGGCAAAGCGATCGAGAGAGCGGGAGCGCTGAAGCAAACTACCGGAACCGGAAAATTGAAGCGAAGGACTTTGAAAAAGCCTACAGTATCTTCATAGAGATTTGGAAAAACATTTTTTTCACCACTCTTCAAGCCGAATCATTTTTGAAATCACGAAAACAGCCGATATTTCGCGATGCCACCAGTTTTCACGCGAAATGACGTCTGAGAAACGTGCGCAGAAAGTCCGTACTGATGACGTGCCACTACCCAGATCTGGGTAGTGCTTCTGAATGGTTAAGGCAGATTTCCCATGACCAGTCAGAAGCACTACTCAGATCTGGTTAGTGACACGTCATCAGTATGGAATTTCAGCAAACGTTTAGACGGCAAGCCTTGTGTGACAAGCGTGATAATAATTTTGCTTGAAAAACTTTTCCGCCGAACTTCACCCTCCTTTAAACAGGTCTTCATGTAAAAGACCAAAAAACAATAACTTAAGTGAAGATCACCACCAAACACATAAGAAATAGGGCTGTCACGTTTGTCTCACTCTAGCGTTTGGCCGTTTCTTTCTTTCTGCCGTCCTGTAGCGTAAACTCACTATTTTGCGGGGGAAACCAGTGGCAATGCGTCAGTCAATTCCAGCTACGCCCAGCCCCCCCACCACCCCGGGCTACTGCGGGGCATTTGCCTGCCTTTTCAGTCTCGGGGGTGGGACATATGCAAATTTTGCACTGCCGGGGGGCCGGGCATTTGCCAATCCCGGGGCCATTCCCGAGCTTTTGACACGCACGCGGTTTTCTATCATAATATAACTACACAGAAGGTTTTACTGGAAAAAAAAGCAGATTGGCTCATCTGTCAAGGACAGGAATAAATTGAAGAGGGTTGTAAAGGCATGTTCTCGATTTTACGCATGCATTTCTTCATTGCTTATCACGCCACAATTACGGAGCGAAATCCGGAGCTATCGATGTGAATCACCGTTTTTTGGTTATTGAATCAAATTTCTGTTGATATTATTTGAAGAACACCCTTTCATATTTATAAAACTCTGCATAACATATACACTGTAACTTTACAGCGCTCTATAAAGTTTAATATCAATAGTTTTATATCAATACTAAAACCATAAACTGGTAATGTCGTCGAAGAGTGAAGTCGTAATTAGAATCCTAGCGCTATTACAAAGGAGGACGTTATTTGAAACAAAAAATCGCACATTAAAATGCTAAAACGGCGTTATTCGACTGTGCGGTCAATGAAAAATGTTGCAGTGTTGACAGAGGACGGGGCATTTGCCCTCTTTTTTCGTCCCCACCCCCGGGAATTCGCGATCCAAGACAAAAAAATGCTAATGCCCGGGGGTCAGCTGAGGGGGGAGGCGCAGGCCGCAGCTGGAATTGACTCAAGCATAACGTCGCGAAATGTCGGCTGTTTTCAATTTCTCAGACCGTAAGTTACACGACATCACAAAAACATACAGGTTGAGCAAACCTTGTTCAAAAAACTCTTGATCCTCTTGTCCTTGTTTTCCTCATCAGCAACCAGCTTGTGTCTATCGATGGAGGCGATGAGATGTGCTTCCTGTTCTAACAGCCCAACAAGGGCTGCTTTTCTCTCTGGACCAGAGTANGCCACTACCCAGATCTGGGTAGTGCTTCTGAATGGTTAAGGCAGATTTCCCATGACCAGTCAGAAGCACTACTCAGATCTGGTTAGTGACACGTCATCAGTATGGAATTTCAGCAAACGTTTAGACGGCAAGCCTTGTGTGACAAGCGTGATAATAATTTTGCTTGAAAAACTTTTCCGCCGAACTTCACCCTCCTTTAAACAGGTCTTCATGTAAAAGACCAAAAAACAATAACTTAAGTGAAGATCACCACCAAACACATAAGAAATAGGGCTGTCACGTTTGTCTCACTCTAGCGTTTGGCCGTTTCTTTCTTTCTGCCGTCCTGTAGCGTAAACTCACTATTTTGCGGGGGAAACCAGTGGCAATGCGTCAGTCAATTCCAGCTACGCCCAGCCCCCCCACCACCCCGGGCTACTGCGGGGCATTTGCCTGCCTTTTCAGTCTCGGGGGTGGGACATATGCAAATTTTGCACTGCCGGGGGGCCGGGCATTTGCCAATCCCGGGGCCATTCCCGAGCTTTTGACACGCACGCGGTTTTCTATCATAATATAACTACACAGAAGGTTTTACTGGAAAAAAAAGCAGATTGGCTCATCTGTCAAGGACAGGAATAAATTGAAGAGGGTTGTAAAGGCATGTTCTCGATTTTACGCATGCATTTCTTCATTGCTTATCACGCCACAATTACGGAGCGAAATCCGGAGCTATCGATGTGAATCACCGTTTTTTGGTTATTGAATCAAATTTCTGTTGATATTATTTGAAGAACACCCTTTCATATTTATAAAACTCTGCATAACATATACACTGTAACTTTACAGCGCTCTATAAAGTTTAATATCAATAGTTTTATATCAATACTAAAACCATAAACTGGTAATGTCGTCGAAGAGTGAAGTCGTAATTAGAATCCTAGCGCTATTACAAAGGAGGACGTTATTTGAAACAAAAAATCGCACATTAAAATGCTAAAACGGCGTTATTCGACTGTGCGGTCAATGAAAAATGTTGCAGTGTTGACAGAGGACGGGGCATTTGCCCTCTTTTTTCGTCCCCACCCCCGGGAATTCGCGATCCAAGACAAAAAAATGCTAATGCCCGGGGGTCAGCTGAGGGGGGAGGCGCAGGCCGCAGCTGGAATTGACTCAAGCATAACGTCGCGAAATGTCGGCTGTTTTCAATTTCTCAGACCGTAAGTTACACGACATCACAAAAACATACAGGTTGAGCAAACCTTGTTCAAAAAACTCTTGATCCTCTTGTCCTTGTTTTCCTCATCAGCAACCAGCTTGTGTCTATCGATGGAGGCGATGAGATGTGCTTCCTGTTCTAACAGCCCAACAAGGGCTGCTTTTCTCTCTGGACCAGAGTAGAGCTCGTCTATAAGGGCCATTTCTTCATTACGCCACTCTTGAAAAATAACAATACAAAACCGTATTAGCAGTAAGTATGCCGCAAGCATCGTATTCCAAGTTTACAAGGAGAAATCAATGTTGGGTAAGAACCAGAAATCCGCCCTCAAGAAAAAGGGTTTAAAAAAGTCTAATGATGTGGGAGTGTGTAGTGTTAGCCTCAAGAGACTGTTAAGTAATGACAAATTATCAAAAATTTTATTGAACGAGTATAGCCACAACCAAGAAATGTGAAAATCAAGACAAGCCTCTACACTTAAGACATTTCTTTATCATATTTTCATGCGCACTTTACAATCAACTTACTCTCTAAATGAGAATAAAGGAGATCAAAGTCTTCCTTTGTCTTGGGATTTATTCTTCTTTCCCATTCTTTTCTTATTCTTTCTGCTCTTTCCCTCTGTTTTCTGAGCTCCTCCTGTCTTTCCCATTCCTGGCGTCGGATGCGATCCTCTCTTAGCTTTTGAACATAATTCTTTGCTAGCCACCTTCTCCAATATGTTTGCAGGATAATAACCTGGAAAGTATGTTAAAAATATATCAAAAGGATTATGACCTTGTTTTTGTCGCATGTTTTCCACTAAATTAATGTTTTTTCAACAAGATTGTTGTATAGCAAGAACGTTTTTGTGTAGTAATATTGATAAAAAGCTTGAGTAATGTAACCATGGTGACAACAACAAAAGACAGTTAACAGGTTTACAGTAAGGAGCCCAAAAGTGACTATTTTTGACTTATTCACATCCTTTCATACAGATTTAGTCCAATCAGAAGCCAGCTGGGGGGAAACTGTCCTCAACTTCTGATTGGTTAATTGAAGGAGGTCACACTTTGGGGATCCTTGTTGTAATAACTATCAAGCAACACAAAAATTCTGAAGGTGCAGCAGACTTTTTGACAGACTTCTTTGCTAACATTGCACAACTAATGTTTTCAAACTTGATTTTGATGGCAATTCGATCATCGCGGCTCATAGATTTTGTCAGAAATACACAGAGAGAATCTCATTATTAAATCATAAAACACTCTTAAAGCCCCCAAATTACGAATTTTAGCAATCACGTACTGACCTTCTTTAAAATTTTTCTGTGATGCTCCTCAGCTGTGACATATCTGCCTGGAATCAGTATTTTATCTGTGACATTTGATACATAACATCCATCTTTGGTCTAATAAACGAAGAAACAAAATTAAAACGTAAAACTGCACACTTTAAGCATTTAACAGCCAATTTTCTTAAACTCATGGTATACCATTTGTGTTGATGTTGTGTTCGTTGTTTGCTGGACTCTGTTTCTAAGTTTGTAAGTCTGAGTATCTCGATGAAACTTCTCAACAGACGATGGTACACGGATCTTTGGAATTGTTTGAGCAGCGGCATTATGGAACTCTACTCCTGTTAGTCTATGTTTGTAGCCTCCTAAGAATGGCTTCTTTCTGTTTTCTTGTACAATGTGAACAACCACCTCGACTTCCCTGCCATCTGAAAATAAAATCAAAAAACAAAAATAATTTTTAACAAGAAAATTCCTTTTCAGGTAGTCAGTGTTCTCCTTATCAGGCGGTAACCGGTAAAATTTACCGCCTGAAACAACACTTCTTACCGCCTGCAACCGCTTAAAGGTTTTTTTAAAAATTAGATATTTTTTTTTTAAAAAATATGCAAGTTGTGATCCGATCCGATCCTCACAAGAAAAAGAATGAATATATGGAAAAGTATAGCTACCTAAGTACAAAACGTATAGCCTAAAAATAATGCATGTGCAAGAACTTCTTTTTACGTCCGCAAGCTGACAGCTTCGTGCGGCTTTTTGTAGGGCGCTTGCCTTGAATCCAGCAAGACGCAAGAACTTCTTCAGTCGTTTTTACTTTCATAGTTATATTTCACTGAAAATTTTGCAGACAAAATTATTCAACAGGTCAGATCAAGGTCAAGCGAGGCGTTGCGCTAAGCGTTTGAATCGTTTACATTATCGTTTGGCGATTTTTTCGTTTGCATCGTTTCTATCCTTTTCTGGTGATTTCTGTCGTTTCTGACAGTTCGTTTGTTTCGCTTCTTTCAGTAGCTGTTTGAAGGAGTTTCACAAACGATCATCGGGTCATTTTGCGAGATCGCCGCAAACACGTGAAAATTTATTCTGACAATAAAATAGCTGTGCCACTTTCCATGTTTGTCAGCGGATCACTAATCTATACTTTAGGCACATAGTTTTAAACATTCAAAACCCTAAAACTGTTTCGTTCTTGCTGGTTTACAATGACAGGGATGTATAGATAACACGTGTAAACAAAAAAGATAAACTAAAAATACGTTCATGTTTTTTTAAAATGCACACTGCAGCTCGTTTTGCAAAATAAGGATCGATGAATTTTGAAACAGTATATATAAAATTATCTTGTGCAAAGGTAACCTTTTAAGCGAGGAAATGTGCACAATTTCGATAAAAAAGCAGCACTTCAAAAAAATAACGATCATAGTGTGTTTCGCAAAAGAGCCGTGTAATTTAAGACCACAACTGTGTCAAATTAAAGCGCTCCTCGAAAGAAAAAACATACTAAAGTAAAGTAAGGAATGTTTCACGAAAGGCTCTTTCAAATTACTGCAATAAAGTGAAAAATAATCGTCATGTTTTCTTTGGAATCGTGATATCCATTGTGGCAGAAATTCAACGCCTTTGGTTTGTTTTGCCGAGAGTATGGTATTGTACTATGAAATGATCCAAATGATCGAAATGTTCGAAACTACAGATCGTTTTGTTAAACAATCGCCTCACACGCTTTATCTAACTTTGGAAAAGCTGAACGATTGAAGTGTTCACTTTGCAGAAAAAGCAGAGAAAGCTGTTCGCTTTCTCAGGGAACTTTTTACGTGTGTCCTTTCATGATTACCTTTTGCTGCCACAGAGTGAATTAGTATCAAAGCTACAAAATGATGTTGCAACAAAAAGTTGACAAATACCACAAACTTCTTTCAGGTTAACACTTGTAAAGAATTTCATGCGCCTTCTTGAGGCTTGCGGTAGTTTTCTAGCTTCTTGCGGTGAAGATTTTTGACTTCTTTCGTTTCAACGTTCTTGCGGGTAAAACACAAAGGGTCCGCAAAAATATGGCACTTTCGCTTCTTGCGGTGGCTTGCATGTTCTTGCGGCGCACAACTTCTTATGCCACTTTTAGCACGTGCATTACTTTTGGACTGTACTGTATATACAGCTTTCCTTTTTAAGGACATGCATTTTGGAAAGAGGACATTAAAGACATAGTAAAATTATTGGAATCGAACGTTTTAATTTGTTGTCTAAAGATAACCCGACAGCAGATTTGCGTAAAATAGGTCTTAAAATATGGGAATAAAAAAATTTCCCAAGCAGGGCGGGGTCCATGTCCCTCCCTCCACTCCCCCACCCCCCTCCCCCCCCCGAGAAAAGTGTATATCTTTTGGCCTTACCGTCCATGAATGGTCCCTTACCTGCTGAGCTAAAATTTGGGGAGAACCCTGGGCAGTGATGACACTGGCAGCATTAACGGCCAGTCGATTCAGACGTTGCTAAGGGAGTAAAAATGACTCGAAGTAACAGTCTGAAATTCAGGCTGAAAGGTTGTTACATATTCCCATTCAGAGAGGATTGTGATGGCCTTCTCAACGTAGGGCTTAATGCTGTGATTTTTAATTTTGTATGATAAAACTTTTACATTGTGTGGGTTGATGTTATGCTGGACCTGTTTCCTGGCAGGTCTCTAAAACAGCAGAAGTTTTATGGGATTGGTGTTCTTTGATAATATTGTCAGTAAAAAAAAAGAATTTGGCACACTGTCAGCTGAGTAATTTGATTTACTGAGTGCAAAAAGGAGCCAATTGTAACATAAAATATATTTACCAATTTCTACTTTGACATTGACTTTGTCTGGCAGTTTGTAGGTTGGTGATACTTTTGTATACTTCAGAGGTTTATTAACAGGATCTGCAGACTGGATTTCCACTTGAAGTGTCTGTCCACCTTGCACACCCAGATCAGATAACACTGTCTGATCTTCTACAAGTTTCCCTTTATGGAGAGAGTGCAAAGGCATATTAAGAAAGTCAGCAGAAGGTGAAAGATTGACTTGTTACATTCAGAAATATTAACTTTAGTTTATAGGTCTCTTATCATACCTGTAACAACTAGTGACAAAATGAAAGGTAGTGCTACATATTTTGCCTGGGATTTAGTAGTGCATCCACATTACTAAGGTGTCCGCAAACAAAACTTCCATATGCATGTATAGATAAAATGAAATCTTATATCATCACTTAAAAATATTATCATTATTTTTTATTATGCAGTCACTTTGGATTTAGAGCCACTTTTCTTTTCACTGATGATCACTACTAACTACAATCAGGGACAAAAGTAGTTGACACAGTTGTTTAAAACGGGTGCTTTTAACAAACATTTCATTCATTTATTATTTCATTCCTTTTAAACGCCGTAAATCCCCCGACCCCCCGAATCAATGTTGTCTGAGGTAAAAAAAAAGACTTGAGGGTCCAAAATTCAACATTGATTTTGGGGGCAAGGGGTTGGGGTAGACAGGGGAAGGGGATAAGTATATCCACTATGCAAAAAGGGGCCATTTTACGGAAATGTGTCAACACTTTTGTCCCTCATTGTAGTCTTTGTACAGTAAGGGCAATAAGGTTAAGTGAAAATATAAGCTGAAGACTATAGCGGTAAGTGGCTGAAACATCACAAAAATAACCTATAGTTAAACCTTTTGAGAGACAAAGATAAAAGACAACCATCCCGTCTTTTCTATTAAGGACCCCATCCCTAAAAAACAACAACAACAACAACCACAGCAACAGCAAAGGCTAAAAAAGCTTGGGGTGGGGGCTTTTAGTATTATTATTTTATTACAAATTTATGACCGTCAACAATACAAGTGACACTTACCATCAAAGAGCATCAGTATCATTTGGGGCGACTGGTTAAGCTCTGACGCAAAATGGTTTCTGAGCTCAAGAAATGACTGCTTTAATGAACATGTCATGTTCTGAACATGTCCCTCTGGCATGATAATGAACTTGACTGAAGATAAGATACATGTAACATGCAATAATAATTATTAATGTTTTACATTAAATAAATATAGGGAGAGGCTGGGTAAACCAAATAGATAGCCTGAAATAATGTCTGGAAGGGTACTCTTGAGACCCAGGATTTGACTGAACTCAGGAAATGCACAGCGTCTTGATGCGAGCAGGATTCACCAAAATCTTGACTCAGGATACTTTATTGGGAAAGAAAACAGTATCAGGGCTGTAGCATGGAGAGGGGCCGGGGGGGACTGTGCCCCCCAGTTTTTTTCCTACAAAGGCAAAACATGCATGCATAAAGTTGAAAATAAAAATTCATCTCCCAGAGCATTGAAACAATGATGTCTTTGCAGCTAGGTGAAACATTGTCTGGTTTTATAGTTACAGAGACCAGTTCAATAGGTACTCCAGGGGGCGAACGCAGTTTTTCAAACTTGTGGGGTTTGCAGGCAAGCTTTTTCTTCTCTCCCCTCCCCCTCCCCTGCAATTCCATTTTTGGCTCTTGTCCCAACTTTCTCGACGAACCCACCCAGAAACGCTTGCTACATGTATGCAGGCTATAAATTTGATTCAAAAGAGTCAGATAAAACTCCAAGCCAATTTATACCGCACATTTTACCTGAATCCGATTCAAAAGATAGGATTCAGGTAAAATTTCTCCGTGGAAATCGGCCTTGAGGTTTGTAAATAAAAAATAGAATGTACCACGGTATAGCAGCTGTACTTTGTTGATAGGAAACTTATCACCAATTAAGCTTACCATTTGCAGTGAAGCCATCCCTAACGTTTCCTGCAGATTCAGCATGACCCAGCTCGCTATCAATGGACCTTTCTGCCTGTGAAGTCGGAGGGGCCACTGGAGGCGCTTCACTCTCTCGCTCCGACTGAGACTCAATAACTCTGTTATCACCGTTATCCACTTTAGATGGCGCGTCCGCAGATGCATCTGCATCCTTTCCAACGGGTGATTCTCTCCCCTCGGTTTGAGCATTTGCTTCTTGAGTTTCAACGTTTTTATCAGGTTCGGAAATAACGACAGACATGGCTGTTTCTTCAGCTTCTTCGACTGGTGTGCCTTGCTGTTCTTCCGAAGGGTTTTTAATCTTTTCCTCCCTTTCCTCCGGATTTTCTGCATCATCCTTCACATTTACAACCTCAGATACATTTTCTTGCTTCTCTTCTTTCACTTCTTCTTCCTCATCTACCTTTCTGGTTTCCACAGTTTGAGCAGAACCCTCGTCGACTTCGCCGCCATTTTCCTCGGCGGTTTGCGGGAGATCGCTTGCTACTTGTCCTTGTGGATCACTTTCTTGTTCCTCTTTTTTCTCGCTGTTCTCTTCATTTTCACCTTGATTATCTGTACTCTCCTCTGCTGCAGACATTTTGCTCAAAATAGTCAGATGTATTGCAAATCAAAAGACAAAGTGTGTGAGAGCAAACAAGGTTCTAAAAGTCCCGAAGAGAGCTGTTTTCCATACTGTCGTTTCCATGGAAACAGCTGGCTTTAAGGATCATGGGCTCATAAAATGATGAAAACATGGTGGTATCATCGACGCTATCATGATAGTGTTCTCAAGCGTTAATCATAGAAATATTGAAAAGAAATAGCAGAGAAGAAAAAAAACGTTTGTTTGATAGGGGAAAAAATAACGTTAATACGTCAATATCGACGAATATTTCGTCATGGCAAGTCTGACGTCACAACAGAGGGCTGGAAAGCTGTGTGGTTACCAAGCTTGAAGAAGCCTGGTCGCTAAGCTATCTTTCTCTTTCTTTCTCGGCGGAGTCACGTTGGAAAACTGAAATTTCGTGCGCAAGTTTTCCGGGTTTTGCCGACTCTAACCTTTTGTCTTAGCTCCTTAGAAACAGCTGCAGATTGTCAAGGGATAATTCGACTACAAAGACAACCGATATTTTGTTTGATGAGTGCAGTAGATGTCATCATTTTCTGAGGAGACGATTGAAGCGCCTCCAGCGAAAAAACGAAAAACTTCTAACTCGGGTGGTGTTTCAAATTCAGTTTCGCAAGAAAATCATTCCACAGAGAAGGTAAAACGACGTAGAATTTAAAAATTGAAGATCGCTGACATTTATGCCTGGATTTTAATGATTATTCTTTTAAATATTACTTTCATCTGAACAGACCATGGCGATGGACAGCAACGGAAGTGCTGTGAACCAAATGCAGATTGATGAAGGGCTATACTCTCGACAACTGTAAGAAGAAAAATTCCTTTATTATTGTCCTTTTATGGCCTTCACGTTTCATAAAATGCAATAGTAAAAGTGTTTTGAGAGTAATACTGGCGAGTCAGCTGGTTATTTATTAATGAGCTGACTTAGTAAACACGTATGGCTTTCGATACTAGTGCATTCGGTTATTTTTTGCCTCTACAAAGCGGTGTTGCCTTATAAGTGACGAAAGCAGGGTGCAAAGAAAGTCATTTTTACAGCGTGCCATTTGGGCAAGCTGAGGGTAGCATGTACTAGCCCAAACGTCATTTCACAGTTCTTCTTCAAAAAACTTCACTTGCCCATCAGGCAAGTTAAGAACAGCAGTCACTAGCCTGATAGCAAAATTCACTAGCCCTGGGCTATCAGACACTACTTTCTTTGCATGCTACGAAAGCCACGCCACATTTAATCACGCCAACGACCGATATGTGGATGCATACCTGTTGCACTGTTTGAAACATCACCAGGAACGAAGGCACCAGGTAGTGTCTTAAACACAGCTTGACTACTGTAGCTTCAGACCAGGATTTTCAGTAAAAATTCCAAATGCCCCTGGGCTAAGCAAAGTACCAGAACCCAGTTTTTAGAGAAGTTTATTTTTGAGCATATGACAACCAATGCAAAAATGGGTGACAATGTTAGCAATAGATAAAATGTCACGTCAACTGCCTGTATTACACCAATCAATGATTGATTGGTGCAATACAGGCAGTTAGAAACTGTATCATGATATTTTTGTCTAGGTATGTACTTGGCCATGAAGCCATGAAGAAAATGGCTGTTTCCAATGTTCTTATATCTGGACTAAAAGGTCTTGGAGTAGAAATAGGTAAGCTACGTGCCTTCAACTTACCCTGCAAGTATAGCTGTCTGTCCTCACTCCTTACTACTCCAAGAGACATTTTGCAGGATAGACGTCTATGTTTTGGCCCTATAAATTTTGTACTGATGACAAGAAGCTTTTGAGCTTTGCCACCTGGGTTTTCAATAAGAGCTGGTGGTCGGCGAAATTGGCGGACTATATCAGGTGAACTTGCTGCCTACTTTTCTTTGGAAATTACCCCCAGTTTGAGTAGAGTATTCATCTGCTGTCGCTGATTAAAAAAGCCAAAATTTTATGATGTCTGTGTTCTGTTCAAACACTCTAATTTTGCTCCAGAATGCTGGAAATGCATTCTAAGAGGCCCAGTGTTCAAAATTTTTCCAGAAACTTGCACCTTCGGGCTAGCAAGTCATGCCTTTGCTGCGAGTTTTTTCCTTCTCTACCTACTCCAAAGCTTTTGCCACCTACTTAAAATCTTATTGAAAAACCCTGTGCTACTGCTTGCATTTTTGCTTGCAGAAGAACTCAAAACTTTACAACAATAGACCAGGAAAAACATCTGGAACCCTATGACAACCAGATTAATCAGACCAAATTTGTTTTTGGTGCTGAATTTCAGACCCTTTCACCCATGATTCTTTCCTAGCAATGAAGAGCGAGGAAAGAAGTGTGTATTTGCAGTCAACCTCTGACTTCAGGCCTCTTTTTTACTGAGTTGTTTGGTGGCAGGATTACTTGTTTCTTTTGTTCCAGTACAAATATAGGTACTCTAGAATATTATTAGACCCACATCTAAATGTATGGCAATTCCATGGAAAACAGCAGACTCAGGATTGCAAAATTATTTTTTCAAAATACAAAACATGTCCAGTATCAATGAAAGGGTCTTCAGATGTACCTACAGTGTTTTATAACCAGAAAGTCAGTTTAGAAGCTCTACCTTAAAAATCACCGTTAAATTATTGACCTAATAAAATTATGTATGTCACTATTACTAGTTCTTTGGTGGTTAAATTCTAAATTTCTCTCACTAACATTGAAATAATTATCTTGTACCTTCAGCTAAAAATGTGGTCTTGGGTGGCGTGAAGTCAGTTACCCTACATGATACAGGAAATGTTGAAATGTCAGACTTGTCCTCTCAGGTGAGTTTTAACCTACACTGTAACTTCATTTCACTAAAACAGCAAGCAAAGAGCAAGTTCCTTAATTCATATACTGTACTCTCTGTAGATCTGATTATGTAGGAGTTTAAAGGAAAATGTAATGGAGATTTTGTTTTCATTTGCCTCTTATAGTTCTTTCTTCAAGCTGACGACATTGGAAAAAACAGGGCAGAGGTATCTTTGAAAAGGATTTCTGAGCTCAACAGTTATGTTCGTATGTCTGTTAGTACCGAACAGCTGACAGAAAAATTCCTGGGACAGTTTCAGGTAAGCACTGCTGCACAGTGTTATCCATAGATCCTCGAACTTAATACATTGTTTATCACCTGTTAGAGATGCCATTATTTAGTGTAATTTGCAGTTGTGATCTGTTTCCATACTCGTTCAATGTAGTTCAGCTTCCTTCATCATCATCACTGGATTCCCCCTAGCCTGCTTGGCAGGTGCAAAAAGGGGAGAGGATGGGGATAGAGGAAAAAAGGGCGAAAGGGAAAAGAGAAGGTAGCCCTCTCTCCTGAATCCCCCTTCCTTTTTCCCTTCCTCCCAATCCCCTATCCCTTTTGATGCCTACTACTTAGGCTAGATCCCTCTTCCTAAGTGGGAAGTGGAGCAGGATTCTTCCATTCACCATAGCCTGAAAGCACAATTGTCAATTTAGGATGCCACAATTGTAATTGGTTTCTCGCATAATTCTTGAGCCTCTGAGGGATGTCTGTATAAATTCCATGCTGATGACATGTTACTTCCTAAGTCCTGTTATTACATGTACTTGAATCTGAAGGTTGTGCTGTGAGGAAAATCTGCTTAAAACCAATTTGAAGCACTACCCCAATCTGGTTATTGACACACATGATATCAGTATGGAATTTTGGTGCTTGTTCTTCCGACATCATATCGCAGGGAAAGCAGCGATGGCCTTGCACAATGTTGGCTGTCTTCTCAGGCCAACAATGATATGAAAAAGGCTTTTGCATTTTTTCGTTGATCAGTATCATTTTGTATTAATTTTTTGTGATCAATTCTTTTGGTTTGTTTTGGTTTTTCCACTGCCACCACCATACATGTATGTACAAATGTACATGTGCTCTTAAAAAAACCCTACTTGTACAAAGTGTAAATATACAGTATCTTCTTCCAATTCTCCTTAGCTGGCAGCAGAAACAATGCAAGAGCAACTTCTCATTTCCCAGTTTATATCTATAGGTTGTAGTGCTAACACAGTCTACCTTTGATGAGCAACTTTGGGTTGGTGATTTCTGTCATGCACGGGGTATCAAGTTTATCATTGCTGATACAAGGGGACTTTTTGGGTAAGTCTCTGTTCTGTTTAGAGTTTATTCAAGATGCCTCAGAGACAGAGCCAAGTGTGTGCATTACAAGGAAACTACTACGCTAACCTGGGTATGGTTTTATTAATTTCCATGGTTTTATTTGAAGTGTATAGTTGGTGGTGAGGGCAGGATAGAATGTTGCTCCACAATAATTTAGAGGTTTTAAGTTAAAACCAAAATACTATTTATCCAGATTTCTGTTAAACATAATGGTTTTCCTTTCAATTTTTTTATATATATGCTTGGAAATAAAAGGAGAATTCAACAATACATCAACAGTCACCTTGGGCCTTATTTCATGCATCCCTTAACATCTGTGTCCTTTAGACTTCACTGTTGGAAAGATAGCCAGATGTAAATGTACTTTCTTTGATAAGTGATGCAGTAGCTGAATGTTATGTTTTGAAATTATCCATTTCAGTCAAATATTTTGTGATTTTGGTGAGAGTTTCACAGTGGTAGATACCAATGGGGAACAGCCAGTCAGTAACATGATATCTTCTGTTTCTAAGGTATGTATGGTGCTGTACACTGATGACTCAATTCTTGTTCTTGATTTTCACAGGGTTTGTAGAGAGTCTTGAATTCTTGAAAAAAGTCTTGAAATTTGCAAACCAGGCAGAGAAAAGTCCAAAAAACAACAATCCAGTCTGGGAAACATAGTGTAAAGTCTAGAGTTTTAAAACTGCAGCATGGGCTTTATTGCTTAAAAGTGAATTTTTTTTTTGAAGTTGTCTTATTCTTTTCTTTAGCCAAAACATTCAATCACAGAATGAGGAAGTTTCAGAACTCTTTTACATAAGTCTGCATAACATGCGCTGTATGCT